AGCATATAATAACTTTTTCCCAGGATTGGCTCCTCCTGATAACATGTCTAAAGGATGTTGGTTTTGAGTTTTATGTATTACAACACTGTTTATCTGCTCATCTGCTGATGGGCATTTAGGTTGTTTCCACCATTTGGCTACTGTAAATAATACTGCAACAACAAGTTTCTGTTTCAATGTCTTCAATATACACCTAAAATAAAAATTTCTGGATCATATTGTAGCTCTATTTTTTTTAGTTTGTCTGGTTTCTGATGTTGGACTTTTTTTAAGAACTGTCTGTCACATTGTTCTGCAAAGTGTCACATACTTTCTACAATAGCTGTACCATTTTGAATTTCCACATGCAATGGTGAATGTTTCTGTTTCCTCAGTAACATAGTTTTTGTTCTCTTCCTTCTAGTCATCTTAATGGTAGTGAAATGGACTTCATTATGGTTTTGATTTGCATCTTTCTGAAGGGTAATGATGCTAAGCATCTTTTCATGTATTTGGTGGCTATTTGAATGCCCTCTGTGGTGAAATGTCTACTCAAGTATTTTGTCCATTTTATTATTATGTGTTTTTGTTAAGTATTAATAGTTGAACTTTCAAACAAATTTTAGTATTGTATTCTTGTCAGATATATGGTTTCTGAAGATACTCTCCAACTTATACTCCCCAAAAGATGTCTACTTTTTATAAAGTCTTAAAGAACAATTTTTTTTCATTTTTATGAAGTCTAATTAATTCATTTTGTCTTTTGGTGCTCTATTTTAATTCCAATAGCAACCAGAAAAAAAGGAGGAGTAGCTCTACTAATCTCTGATAAAATAGATTACAGTGTAAAAACCATCACAAAGGACAAAGAAGACAACTAAAAAAATATTTAAAAGGTCAAATGAACAAGAGTTCATAACCATAATAAATACCTATGCACCAAATGTTATAGCTGCAAAATACACAAAGCAAGCGTTAACAGAATACAGAAATAGACACCACCACAATAGTAGTTGGAAACTTTAATGCACTATTTAAAAATAGAAACAAGGTAGGAGGCATCACACTCCTTGATTTCAAATCCTATTACACAGCTATGGTGGTCAAGACATTATGGTACTGGTACAGTGACAGACACACAGATCAATGGAATAGAATTTAAAACCCAGAAATCAGCTCATCTAGCTACGGTCAACTGATTTTTTACAAGGAAGTGAAATCAGTTAAGCAGAGAAACATGACAGTGTTTTTAACAAATGTGTTGGCAAAATTAGAAAACTATCTGTAGAAAACTCAAGCAATGCAAAAGACTCCACAAGATCCACACCTCACTCCATATACAAAAACCAACTCTAGGTGGATCATGGACCTAGGACTAAAACCAAGAACTATAAACTTCATTAAAGTAAAGCTTGGAAGAACTCTAGAAGTCCTAATCCACAACATAAACAATCTTCCAAGTATCCTGAAAAACCTACAACCAGGAGAAGGTAAAAAAGATGAATGGGACCTTCTAAGACTCAAATCCCTAAGTATATCCAAAAACCTATCCAACAGGGTAAAAGGGGACGCCATAGACTGGGAAAGGTATTTGGTAATGACATGTCAGATAAGGGACTTATATCTAGAATTTACAAAATACTTGAGCACCACAACAAGATAAATGTAAATAATCCAATTGAAAAATGGGCACAGGATATGAACAGATACTTCACCAAAGAAGACATTCAGATGCCCAACAAGCACATGAAGAAATGTTCAAATCCCTAGCTCTAAGAGAGATGTACATCAAAACAACTATGAGATTTCATTTCACCCCAGTAAGAATAGCAAAATTTAACAGAACAGCAAGCAACAAATGCTGGTGAGGTTGTGGAGAAACTGGAACCCTTATTCACTGTTGATGGAAGTGTAAAATGGTGCAACCACTGTGGAAGGCGGTATGGCACTTTCTCAAAAAGTTGCAAATAGAGATACCATTTGACCCAGTAATTGCATTACTGGGTATATACCCCAAAGAGACCATAACTGCCACCCAAGCAGATATATGCACACCCATGTTTATCGCAGCTTTGTTCACAATAGCAAGGAGCTGGAAACAACCTAAGTGCCCATCAACAAATGAATGGATAGAGAAGCTGTGGTATATTCACACAATGGAAAACTAGGCTGCATTGAGAAACAAGTAACTCACGAAATATTATTCAAGATGGGTGACCTTGGAGGACATTATGCTGAGTGAAATATCTCAGTCACAAAAGGACAAATACTACATATTGTCACTGTTGTAAAACAGGACTGGCATCAGGGTTGGGGGAGACTGAGAAAGATGGGATAAATAATGTATACTGCATTGAATCAGATGAGGGAGAAAACTGTTTAAAAGGGATATGTGATTAGGTATTATTGTCATGATAGGAGTCCAGAATGAAGGCTGCACAGTACAGTGGACCTGGGAGGAGGGATTGTAAAACAATGAAAGAATTTTTCTTTTACTTTTCAAAGAGAAGAGTGTACTGGTGGGGAGGGGTGGGCAGGGTGAAAAGTTCAACAATGAATGAATGGAAATCCAAAGTCTCTTTAAATTTTTATTGAAATTAGTAATAAAAAAAATTTTAAAAAGAAAACTCAAGCAAGACCCACATCTCACACTATACACAAAAACCAATTCAAGGTGGATCAAGGATCTAGGAATAAAGGCAAGGACAATAAACTTCATCAGAGAAAAGCTTGAAAGAACTGTTGAAGCTCCAATCCACAGTATGAGCTGTCTTCCAAGCATAATGAAAAACCTACAACCAGGAGATAACACAATAGATGAATGGGACCTTCTAAGAATCAAATCCCTATGCACATCAAAAAAAACTTCTCCAACAGGGTAAAAATGAGAGCCACAGGTGGGGAGAAAAAAAAAGTTTGGTAATGACATGTCTGATAAGTGACTCATATCTAAAATTTATAGAATACTACAATGTCCCAAGAAGAAAAAGGTAAATGCCTAATCACAAAATGGGCACAGGATATGAATAGACACTTTATCAAATGGTAAACAAACTCATGAGGAAACGTTCAAAATCCTAAACTCTCAGTGAGATGCAAATAAAAACAACCATGAAGTATCACCTCACCCTGGTAACAATAGCGAAATTCAACAGAGCAGCAAACAACAAATGCTAGCAAGGCTGTGGAGAGATTGAAACCCTTCTTCACTATTGGTGATTGTGTAAAATGTTGCAACCACCATGAAAGTCAGTCTTGTGCTTTCTCAAAAAGTTAGAAATACAAACGCCATTTGATCCAGCAATTCCACTAGTGGGAATATACTCTAAAAAAATCAGAACCACCATCCAAACAGACGTATGCATACCATGTTTATTGCTATGTTATTCACAATAGCAAAGAGATGAAAGCAATCCAAGTGTCCATGAACAAATAAATGGGTAGAAAAACTATAGTACAGTCACACAATGAAATACTACACAGCACTGAGAAACAATGAATTCGTAGAACATTACACAACATGGACGACCCGAGAGGACATTATACTGAGTGAAATATCTTGGTCATAAAAAGACAAATACTGCATAACACCACTGTTACATAACAGAACTGACATGCTGGGGGATAGAAAAAGAGTGGACAGATAATGAACACACATTGGAACAGATGAAGGAAAGAACTGCTTAAAAGGAATATATCTACTCCATTACTTGGAACATACCCAGAGAAAACGATAACTGAGGCATAAACTGAGATTTGCACACCAGTGTTCACAGCAGTTTTATTCACCATTGCAAGAACATGGTAACAGCCCACATAACAACAACATCCAATTATTTAAAATTCATATTAACATTTGTAAAATGGATTAATTTAATCTAGCCAGATAAAATTAAAGTGTGGGAAATGTGGCATCAGGGTTGGTGGAAGACTCATCAACAATCTGCATTATGCAGATGACACAACTAAGCATGCTAAAACTGAGGAGAACCTAAAGCACTTACTGCAGAAGGTTAAGAACTGCAGCCTTCAATATGGCTTGAAGCTCAACATCAAGAAAACAAATATTATCACCACTGGGCCAACTGGCAGCATCATGATAGATGGTGAACAGATTGAGATTAACAACAGTTTTAGTTTGCTTGGCTCTACAATCAACACTTTTGTTACCAGCAGCCAGGAAATTTAAAAGACAAATTGCATCAGGAAAGTCTACTGTCAGAGACTTCGCCAAAGTACTGAAGAGCAACAACGTCAGTCTGAAGATTAAGGTGTGCCTGAACCAGGCCATAGTCTTTTAATTTACTTGCTATGCATTGGAAAGCTGGACAATGACTAGGGATGATAGAAGGAGAGTTGATGCCTTTGAGCTGTGGTGCTGGAGAAGAGTATTAAATATACCTGGATGGTGAGAAGAACAAACAGGTTTGTCCTAGAGAGGGTGAGACCAGTGTGCTCCTTGGAAGCAAAGATTCTGAGGCTTCGTCTGACATACTTTGGACATGTTGAAAGGAAGGTCCAGTCCTTGGAGAGGGATATCATGCTTGGGAGGGTAGAGAAACAGTTCAAGAGAGGAAGAAGCTCAATGAGATGTATTGATTCAGTGACTTGGGTAACACGGATAGGTGTGTCAGAAACAATAAGATTGGCACAGCATAGAGCAGGGTTTAGGGCTCTTGTATACAGGTTCACTGAGTCACAGGCAACTTGATGGCACATGACAACAACAGTTTTTAAAATGAAATTTTTATAACTTTCAAAAATAAGGAAAAAAACTACAAAATATTGAACAAATTTTTATTTTAAATTACTAGATTTTTAGTTTATATGAAAACTTTCATAACACATGCCATGAAAAGCAGTTAGCATTTTTACTAGATTTTTAGTTTATAAGAAAATTTTCCTAAAACAAGCCATGAAAATGCCATTAACATATTGTGTACAATAAAGACACTCTTAATACATCTTTTGAAACAAGTCATGTGCTTATTTCTCCCATGAATAAATGCAGTTTCCTTAAGTCATGAAGTATGAAGTATGCTTAAAATTTTCATGTTATTCCTTAATAACTTCTTAATAAGCCTTTGAGCTTTTTTTTGCCTTAAACATAATCTTTTTTTCAACATATTGAATACTGTAATAGCTTTTTCTCTCATTTCTGATGGCACATATTTAATATCAAAATATTCAGATAATTTAGATCTAGAATTATATAGCATGTTAATAATAGTTTTAACGTCAGCAATTTCAGAACCAGTTCGTCCAAATGGTAAGCTCTCAGATTCATACATTTTAGTTAGTTTATGTTCTGCTGCTGCTGCTAGAGCAATACTTCGTTTTAAGTGATCTATAGAGGCCTGAATGTCCTCTCGAAATTCTTGGCTTATATGACCACTGAGATGTGCTTGTTGTATTTGTGCATTAATCTCTGAAATTTTTTTCAAAACGTTCTCATTATTCAAAGTCTGTGGGGGTCTTTGAAATATTGATGTTTTCTCTGTGTCAAACTGACCTGTGAGCTGAGGAACATCTTCAGATTCTGTGGATGTGCTCCAGTCACTGTTCTCAGTTGAAATGGTAGTAGATACATGTGAAGTGAATGTAATATGTGGAAATGGCTTTGATGTCACATGTAAAAATGGCTTTGATGAAGGAGTTCGTCTTGTATATACTTCTGGCTCTTCTTCCTCTTCATCTTTTATAATATAAGGTTCTTTTGTGCGTAGAACAACAGAAATATTGTTTGGCTTAATAGACCAGAATGCTGTAGTTTTAGTACGTTTTTTCCTCCGTTTTTGCGATGTTAAGACTCTAGAAGGGAAAGGTGTCTTTTCTTCACTGACGGGACTGCTTAAAGTTTTGTCGTCACTTAAAGTTTCTCCATTTGTGATTATCTCCTTAATCTTTGATACCTTCAATCCCGTAGAATAAACATTAGTTGGAGTCATTTTTTTAATCTGAGTGCTTGGGTCCTCCTTAGTGGGAACATTTCGTAATACATTCTGTAAAACTTGTACATAATGATTCAAGCTTTTTTCTTCATCAGGAATCACAGTTACACCTTAAGGGGGAAAAAAAGTCAAAGAGTAAGTAGTATTTATTATTTTATCTGACACATTGACAGACTTCACTGATCTAAATTTATTTCATATGCTTTCTCTTTTAAAAAATGAGATTAAAAAAACTAAAGAAAAAAAAGCACTTTTCACAGAGTATGTCTCAATCATTCCAATAAATTTTTTTCAAGTTCATATTACAACAGAGAAACAAGACTAGAGCAAAAGTTATGTATTAATACAATTTTTCCTTTAACTTTTTCCTCTTAGTCTCTTATTTAAGTTATGATTCATCAGAAAATTTATTAAATTAAATTTCCTGATTTATGCCCTCCAATACAGTGATGCTGAAATAAGTTTGCACTGACTCACTAGAAACAACTATTAAATTCTCACATTTTTTTGCAAAGATGTTAAGCACAGACATCATAAAAATTAAAGCTGTGACTTTTATATTTAAAACAAAGGCATTACGTTATTTAAAAATACAACTTTTTTTTTACTCATAAATTCACCACATTTTACTACTACCTATACTTTGAGAATATTTATGTTTATTATATGGTGGAAATATTATCTAATGGTATAGTAAGGTGCATTTTTTTCTTCATCTTTCGGTAAAGTTGAGTTGGTAGTTTGAAATATGCCCAAGTAGAGTATTTACACTTTGTAAATAGGCAAATACTACACAACAGAGCATCTACCTTCATCCCCAAAGCTGACTCTTAAGCATTCACCAGTATACCACTGCTTCCAACCCAGTAAAGAGCAATGATTAGCTTATGGGTAATAACTGTCCAACTGTTTTGCCAAGTAAATTCTATTAAAACTCAATCTGTCTTGTCCATTTGTTTATATAGTCACCTCATGAGGAAAGTCTGATAATCTGATTCTAAAATATTACTTTGAAAACCCTGTGGAGAAAAATTTTACTCAGTAACACATGGGATTTCCATGTGTAAGGATCAACTGAATGGCAACAAGAGTAACTGCTATTCAGAGAACCACAGACCTGACGTCCTGACATGAGAGCTGACCTTGCGACTGCTACCCCATAGAATTAAGAGCTAGAAGGTTTCACCCTAGTTTGCTGGACTAGTCGATGGGGAAACACTATAAAACTGGCAGGACTAAGCTTTGTAACAATGACCTAAAGTTTTAAGGCTGAAGGCTAAGGTGCCTGCAAGCACATTTTGGAAGTTGTCCTGACTGAGCAATTGTATCCTGCTGCCAACCTGAAATATAGTCTTTTGACTTCCCTAATAAACACCATAATTGTGGGAGGAAAAGATAGGAGTAGAAAAAGGTGGGGTGGGGAGAAACCAAAACAAAAAACAACCCAGAAAGAGTAACTGTTGTTGACTGAAACAGCCACATGGAGTTGCAAAAGGTATATGGCTTTGCAAAAGGCGCAGTGATAACAAGGCCAAGTCTGACTTCTATTTGCTTTAAAAAGGTGAACTGTCCCTATTAATAACATTCATAGTATCAAACAGCTACATGGTCAGGCATGCTATGAATTCTATGAATCATTTGATCCAATGCTCATTGTAAACTGACTCAAAGACTTTACTCACAGTTGTGGGGCTTATTAGTGAAATAGGTTGAAGGGTGGAGGAGACAAAGGATATCACGTAGTGAAATTCCAGGTTTAGTGAACAGCAGCCTCAAGCCAGACTAACAGCAAGACACAATTCCTCAATTAGTTCTGACAGCTTCTCAGTTAACAAGTGAAAGTCTAGGTTCAATTCAGCAGCACAAATAAACCACTGGTTTCCTCAATTGTCCAGTAAGCTTTATCTTGTAGCAGTCACAAGTCAGCTCTTTATTCAGTTATCCAGAAGTAAAATCTTTAACTTTGGTTCCATCTCCAGGGTTCTGTCAGGCTACACCTTGTCACAGTCTCTTCAGAGTGTAGAAAGCATTCTCTTATATTGGTTCCACAGCTGTTGATGATTTGCAAAACACTGTGTCCGCAGTTGAGGTAGCTGGAGACCAAGGCTCAGATAGGGGCTAACACAAGGGTTAGAAAAGCCATTTATCAATGTTCTAACACCAAACATTTGTAAAGACTATTCACCATCTGGCCCTTTACAGAAAAAGTTTCTTGATTCCTAATCTAAGCTATAGTTATTTCACTTTTAAACCAAAATGCTGTTCTATTACACTAGTATTTTGCAGCACTTGAGTGGTGATATTTCTCATTTCCCACCAATATGGAAAAGAAAAAAGATTACTGCAAAAATATTCTGAAATTCTGTTCAACTATACTACTCCTGAGTCAGGAGAATATCAAGTGTTGGAATTTTGGATTATACTAATTTTCAATTTATTTTGTCACTACTTTCTTCCATCATCATAGATTCATACTGGCTTAATGCAAATAAGTCCTTTTCTTGTAAATCCTTATGCATAACTTTTATTTGAATCATCTCTCTACAAACTAAACAAATAGCACACTTCTTATTTAAGAGACAATTCTGGCAAGCACCAACCAAAACTAAAAATATACTGTATATTCTGTTTCCCATTTACCTATTCTGTTACAATCAAGAAATTTTAGATGGATGTTTATTAAAAGTTAGAAGCATACCCCTAAAGCATAAATTTTAAAAAATTCTTGAGAGTAATCTAGTGAGGCATTATAATAATAGAAAAACACCAGATTTGCCTGGAGAGCTAGATTTTCAAACTAAATTGTTTATTTCACGTCATACTTATAAGAGTCATGCATTCGTCAAGATCTATTTGATGATGATGAATGGGGGAAAAAAGATATAGGACCTATGGTAGAATTCAATACTATTGCAATTTTTTAAAAAAAAATAACTCCTCTTATTATCAAATGTGTGTGTGTGTGTGAATTTCAGTGTCTGTTGTTTTTAATGGACTTAGAAGTTAAAAATTATGTGATAGTTGTCTCTGAAAAAGTGAAGACAGGAATGAGAATGAAGTTGGTAGCTAAGAAAAATTTAGACTAATCTATAATGCTTCATTCCATTTAAAAAGTGGGGTAGAGAAACAAGTCTATCAACCACTTAGTACTAAAAAGTCAGCGATGAATACTGTACTGGAATGGATGAATGAGAGGATAATCTGAAAGGAACAGACAGTTATATAAAATGTGCATGATAATTAATTATCTTGTTTATTGGGCACTCCATTTCTGTCAGGGATTATAAATTTGAAAGGAGGATTTGATTCTACAGGAGACCTATGTCAGTCATAACTAGAAGCCGAATCTTTGAAGGAAAAATGTGAAATTCTTAATTACAGACTTGTAAATTAGCACAAGCAACCCTGTGCTTATTGGGTAATATGGCACTGGGCAAAATAATAGTTCTCTGCTCATATGGTGCAACAGGAAGGAGGAGAGACAGGTAAAGGACGAGTATATTGAATGTGTAGTTAATTGGTTTTATGAACAACTAGCTCATTCGCCATAAAAGAAGAAAAACTGGGTAGTTTCCAGACACTGTTAATGAACATTTTGATCAAAGATTCCATAGAAGAATCTTGTTTAAAAGAAAGGGGGGAAATAGCAGGGCAGGGAGAGAAAAATAGTGGATACAAGTTAAAATCTTCTTGGACTATAAATTTTCTGGAGTCATGGAAGGTGGAAAAATGCATGAAACTTTTATTCTGAGATAATCTTTAAACCAAAAACTATTTTCTGATGCTTTCTTATAGCTAAATAGCAGTTTAACTTACCTTAAAACAAAATAATCCTCTCTCCTTGGACATTATGTCCTTTTAAGAACATTTATATGTGATCAAGTTGACAGCTGCTGTTGTTGATGTGCCATCAAGTCACCTGTGACTTATAGCAACCTTATGTACAACAGCTCTGAAGCCTGCCCCATCCTGAGCCAGTATCACTGACTCTGACACAACAACCCCCATTACCCCAGTTACTGCATCAATCCATCTCATCCAGGGTCTTCCTCTCCTGAGCTGTCCCTCCACCCTTCAAAGCATAATGCTCTTCTCCAAGTACTGGTCCCCTGCTGGCCACATGCCTAAAGTATTTGAGACAGAGCTTCAAAATCCTAGCCTCTAAAGAGAAATTTGTTTTCATCCTATCCAATATTTACTGATTTGTTTTATTGGCAGTCCGTGATATGTTCAAGACTCTTCTCCAGAACCACAACTCAAAGGCATCAATTCATCTTCTGTCATCATTAGTCACTGTCTAGCTCTCTGATGCATCTTACAAGTAACTGCAAAGACCAAGGCCTGGATCAGGCACACCTTAGTCTCTAGACTGACATCACTGCTTCTCAGTACGCTGGAGAGGTCTCTGATAGGAGATTTACCCAGTGCTATTCATTCTTCTTTTGGCTGCCTGCCAAGAGTGTTGATTGTGGAGTTGAGCAAGCTGCAATTATTAACAACCTCAATCTCTTCTTCATCATGGCGTTGTCAATTGGTCCAGGGGTGATATTGAGCTTCAATTCATATAGAAGACTGTAGTCCTTGACCTTCTATAGCAAGTGCTTCAAGTCCTCCTCAGTTTCAGCAAACAAGGTTTTGTCATCTGCATGAGGTAGGTTGTTGATGAGTCTTCCTCCAGTTCTGATGCTACATGTCTCCTTCATAAAGTCCAGCCTCTCAAATAATCTGCTCTGCACAAAGATTGAAAAAGTATGGAGAAAGGATACATCCCTGATGCTCTCCTTTTCTGCTTTTGAACCATGCAGTGTTTTCTTGCTCTGTTCTGGAGACTGCTTATTGGTCCAAGTATAGGTTTTGCATATGCATAATCCAGTGTTCTGGGTTTTCCATTATTCTCAAGGTTAGCCAGAATATTTTGTGACCCACGCAGTCAAATGCCTTTGTATAGCCAATGAAACACAGATAGCAACTCAAAAGATTAGACAGAAACTTAGAAGGCAATGGGTTTATGTTAATAAGGGAGGAAACTCAGAAAAGGAGGACAAGAAAGGTTGCAGAACTTCAAGAATGTAATCAAGGTCTCTAAATTGTACTTGCAGAAACTGTTAAA